GTGCGTATGGCCAGAGCCCCTGCCCACATCCCTTGGGGTCTGGGTGATGCCAGGGAAGGTTTGGGTTGGGTATTGGGAAGAGTTTGTTCATGGAAAGGTGGTAGTGGTGGAGACCTCATCTGTGGAGGTGTTTGAGTTACGTGGATGTGGAGCTGAGGGATGTGTCTTAGTGATGGGGTGGTGGGACTTGGTGATCTTGAAGGTCTTTTCCAACTTAGATGGTTTTATGAAGGGAATGCCAGTGGAGACACTGAAGCAGGTGGCCAGACCCTGGTGAAACACTGGGTTTGAGAAAGAGAAGGGGTCTGAGTGTAGATGCTCAAGATGTTGCAAGGAAGACATCATCCAAATTCCAGAGTATCACTCGTGTTGTCCCTGCTGTGCTAGAACATGCTGATGGCTTGTGCCACCGCCTGACCAACGTCTGCCCCACATCCAAGCCCCAGACCCAAGGACTCGCCAAGGATGCATGGGAAATCCCCCGGGAGTCGCTGCGGCTGGAGGTGAAGCTGGGGCAGGGCTGCTTTGGAGAGGTCTGGATGGGTAAGGACAGCTCTGGCCCTGGTGCCACGGCCACACGTAGTCTTAGCATCTGCAGCAGTGGGGCAGCAAGTGAGAGACACAGCCCTGTAAACATGTCCTGTGCTGCAGGGACCTGGAATGGCACCACCAGAGTGGCCATAAAGACCCTGAAGCCCGGCACCATGTCCCCGGAGGCCTTCCTACAGGAAGCCCAGGTGATGAAGAAGCTCCGACACGAGAAGCTGGTTCAGCTGTATGCCGTGGTGTCAGAGGAGCCCATCTACATCGTCACTGAGTACATGAGCAAGGGTGAGCACAGGAGGGCTGCTGGGTGACCGGAGAAATGGCTCTGCCCGTTGGTGACCGTTGTCTTCCTCACAGGGAGCCTCCTGGACTTCCTGAAGGGAGAGATGGGCAAGTACCTGCGGCTGCCACAGCTCGTTGATATGGCTGCTCAGGTGGGTTCCTGTTTCCTTTTCCTCCCTTTGGTTGGATCGGGTCTGGCTGTGGAGCCATCCCCACCATGGTGGGGGTCCTCCTGTCCCCTGCAAAGCCCGGTCCCCACACTCTGCCCAC